ATTTATAAAATATAAAAGTATACAAATCATTTATGGACTATTTTTTCATAGAAACTGACTAAAATATAATTTAAAAAAGGACCATATAATCTAAAAATAATATTTCCATGTGTTTAAATTCCTTATTTAAATGCCACATCAAATAATATTAAACCTATTACACATTACATATTATAGTATATTATAAATATATTATAATATATAAAATAAATTTACAAAATATGTTATAAACAAATAATGTAAGACAATGTTATTATACTACCCAATTATGATACTTAGCCATTTTTATATATTCAAATAATAAATAAATTTATTAATAATCAAATAATAATACCTTGGTTTAAATAATCTGGGATTTTTTCTTCAATCTCTCAAAAGGTTCCTTAAAACTTCCATAGTTTTCTTCCAAATATTTATGCCACAGTCTATATATAGTCCAAGGTCTTGGGTTCAATGCACCATTAGCCAATGAAACTATATAATTTGGAAGAGTACGAAGTCTAGATATATTCTGTTTCATTGCTTGACTAGGAGAAAGTCCATCAGCAAAATATTTTAGAAAAACAGATTTTACTTCTGGATCAATAAATAATCGCTTTAGAGCATCAGCACTACCACAGTTATGGCTATGAAAAGGATTAATTTTAATAACAGTGTTTAGAGGAGGGTCTCTTTTTAAGTATTCGTCATTTTTCTTAGATCCTTTTGTCACAATTTTTATCAAAATATCAATAAATGCATCACATTTTTGGTTTTTTTTACTGCTTTCCACTTTTCTATGTGAACTAAAACTGCACACCCATTTGTTATGCATTACAAACCTATAAAAGTCAATACATTGTAGGATGACTTAAAATAAAAAAATTAGGCACTAAGAATTTTTTACTTTTGGCCCTTCAAATTAGATTTTCATATCCCATTACTATTAGACAATATAAGAAAAGTAATATAGGAAAGTGATAGATTTAACTTTTGAAGCAATTTCACTACTTCAAAGATGATGACAGACAAAAAAAAATATATTTTTTTTTATTTTTTTTTTTTACTTATAGCTATTAGGTACTTAATAATTATAGGAAAATAAATTATCTCAGCACTCAAATTGGTTATATCCTTACCTAACTATATACTAGGTAATTAAAATTAACAACTTCAATTGAATTAAAATTGATTATACTTTTAATTTAATAAATAAAATATACTTACCGACTACTATTTCCTTTATTCAACCTATTACCTTGTATCCAATAACTATCATCAAATTTTCCAAATTTCCTAATAAAACTTTTAGCATCATCTTTATCATCCATATATGTACGTAATGTCAATACATTTTTGGAAGATAGACATTCCGAGACAACTAACATAAATGTGGAGCCTTCAAAGTACTCCAATAATGATTTTGTGTATAATGTGTCCTATTCAATACATAATATGACACACATAATATTACTTAATAATATGAACTACTATATAATAATATAATATAATATAATATTGAATGCATTTATTAAATACTAATTTATACACTTAGTAAAATATTTGAATTACCATTATTATTAGTTTAACAATTTGTAGGGTTCTTCGATATTTATTAATACTTACTACCTATAGAAAATAGGTTGTAATGTTTATAAAAAATAATAAATAGTATTAATTACAAATTAATTATAATATATAAGAAAAAAAGCGTAACGTTATTAAGTAGTAAGTAGGTACTTATTAGTTATTACTTATTATCATTAAAGGTAAAGATAAAAGACGTAATCTAAATATATCTTTAAATAATTCAAAATTATTATTATTATTGTTATTATTAGCGGCAATTCAAATATAAGTTTATTTAGTTCTTGATAATAAAATAATAATAATAATAATAATAGCGGCAAATTCAAATTGGACCAATCAGAGCAACCCGGTTCTGAGTGTACCTACATTTGCAAAATACGCGTACCGGCCACCATCCCCTTCCAACAATCGTTTCACCCCTCGTTGGCCGCACTTTCTCAACAATCGGTTCTGCGCCATCCAGTGGCCGTTGACGTCAAACTGTGTGTCTTTGATACCAGCGATGAGGTCCCGGAATCTGTCAGGGTCTTTGTGTTTGGCAGTATACGACGGTCCATGAGACCTGAACGTTAAATTGTTTTATTAATACAAGTCACATATAAGTCGATAAATATAATATAATATTTACCCATCTATTTATTCCTATATTGTGTACTAATAGTGTTCTACTAATAATGTCAATAGTAGTATATAAAAATAATATTTATAATATGTGACAACATTTAAAAAAAAGTTCAATCTAGGTAGGTACCATGTGAATAAGAGAATAATAATTTACACATTGTATAATATTACAGTTGCTGTTTATTACGTTTGTAGGAAAAGATATATTTAGATACTCATTATAATCAATACATATGATATTATAAGCTAAAAAGACTAGTAATATTATTTCAGTTTCAAAAATTACACTTTAAATTTAATTTTTTAATTGTATAATATTATTCAAAAAATTCTGGATCAATTAATTTAATTCAAATTGATGAATTATGATCAGAGCTGTGTTAAATAGTGTAAATGTGTAATAATAGTGTAACGTGGTCGGGGATGGCCCGTTAAATATAAGATATTCAGGGAAGAAATTAATTCTTTTGAATATATTTTTACCGTAGCTCGGGAGCACGAATGGTATTAGGATCTTAATATTACAAATAAATAACGATTGATCTAAATTATTATTAATATAAACAAATTATTTATTATAACTTACAATTTACGAACAAAGTTACCAAAAATGTAGGATTGTACGGAGTTCAGGTGCACGTGATGGACTCGCGGAGAACTGGTATTCTCTTACATAGGGATATTGGCCGGAGCCTTACAATCATAAAATATATATGTGTCACCTAAACCGGAGGGGCTTAATATATTATTACAGTCAGCGCATAATATGCCTAATGTGCATATTATGATGCTTATAAAGTAAACGTAATGATGTAACATACGTTACAATAGTATGGGATATATTATTAGTGAGATAATGATTGACTATATTATAAGCCGTAGAATGTTGTTAATAGACAATAGTTATACATTTCTATGTTTTTTTTTTTTTTTTTACTTAAAAAAATGTTTTCGTGTGCTGAATAATTACATTTTTACAAATATTTCAATATATTACTACTTACTACTACTTACTTTCCTATTGTCTGAAGTGTGATTTTTAAATGATCGATGTTCAAGAACTCTTTCTCGTTACTTAAAGAATATCCTAAAGTACTAACGTGTTCAACAACAATTAAATCATTTGCCATAAATTCTCTACATTTATTACCACCATAAATAAAACGTGGAAAAAATATGAAATGAGCATCATTAAATGTTGGTCCTCAGCACTTCGATAGGAACGGTATGATCTTTTCATAAAAAACGAATTCATTACCGAATAGTAAGTCGGATTCAAGACATTTGCGTAGTACAAAATCTTGAAGTTTTAACTTGATCATTATGTTATGATGAGATCCATCAGATGTTATAACATCACAAAATATTCGTCGGAAGCACCATTCTTCTCCTCCAATCATACAATTATAACTTAAACCACACTAAATTACAATTTTTCCCGAAAGCACCTTCACCGATAATTTCCTTTAATTCTTTTTCAATAATACACTCCATAACACTAATATTACGGTCTGTCACAATATTATGTTACGTCTTATTCATGTGTAATATTTTTGAATACCTACTAATAACTTGGTACAATTTGAAATCAAATAATAACTAAGCAATTAATCATAATACGTACCTATCTTAAAAGTCTGTCTTAAAAACTACTTATCGACTACTATTTGTATTAACATGGTTATCAGTGGAATATAATAATCAACAAATATTATATTATTGTGTCAATTTTTACTATTAATTGTTAATGTTTAACAACTGTTTAACCTATAGTGATGTGTATGGTATCCAGCACATAGTTGCCGGCGCGGGGTATTTTTATTTTTTTCCCTTTCAAATTCCCTTACCAAATTTTGGTAACATTTCATTATTGTACTATAATTGTTTACTATTAGAAATTATAACTTACATTTTTTTTATATTTTTCTATTACAGTGTATTAATTGTTACATAGTTATCAGCTAGTAGGTAACTACCTACCTACCTACGAATTATTTTATTTTTAATTTGTATGTGTTATATACAAAGGCAATAAAAATTATTTTGACAATTTTTTGATTGTATGATGAAGAGATATCTTTATATTTGTAAATAACTGACAACTCCTAAATAACAATTTAAAGAAACATATTATATTACGGAAATTCGTTTCCCTCACTTTGACTGTGTTAAACCACTTCAATGCTAGGGGGCTGAAGCACAACCACATAACTGAGAAGCTTATTGTTACCACTGATTAGAGGTCACTAATGGTCAAATTATCCAAGAAGATCCCGTACCGGTTCATCAATGTGTTACCGCAGAGAGACAACATGCATGGCCATCTAATTTCTGCTGCTAGTCGAAACTCAATATGGATGGTGCGTTACGTTTATATAACAGTTTTTGGTTGAGAAACTTTCAGTTTGATCATTATTGGACATGGCTTCACTCCCGTTCATCTGGTGAGTGGTGCTTAACCTTAACGTGAACACAACCTAGCGTTAGCTTAAATTATTTTAAATAGCTGACATCTATTGTAATAATTGTCAAACACACAAAGTAAAATAATTTATTAATAACATAATAATGTAAATCAATATATATTTATATATTATAAAATGTCATAACAATTTAATTTTTATCTTATATCTATAAATAAAAAAAAAATAAAAAAATAATACGATATCAATTTCAAATATCTAACATGTTAAGTATTTAACAATAACACATCAGATATAAAACTGATATAAAAATATTAAAATCAACGATTAATACAATAATACATAATATAAATATAAAATATTTCTAAATATCCAAAAACCAATTTAGCTTAACTGCTTAGTGTTCTCACAGAGAGTTGAGTTTTCATCTTTAACATGATTTGAGTTTACGTCACGTCTCACATCAGTGTAGCCCATATCGATAAAATGCTGAACCATGTCAGCCAAGCATTCGGTTGCCATGTCGCCACCCAAATCCAGGAAGTAGTCCATCGGGTCGTCACTTGTCGCCAACGAATCCAATGTATCACTTCTGTAACGTAACATGAATGGCAAGCAAAACGTCGCTTTTGCAAATCCATTGACGGCGGTCGCAGCCATCTCGGCATCAATTTCGGTGCGATCAGGTACACGGACGCCAGGCAATACGGACGCGGCCAGTGCGGCGCAGTAGGTGTCCAGCAAGTCGTCCCAGTGTGACTCACGCATCCGCTGCGTGGTGGACATGTATAGGAACGACGACAGGTCCAACGCAGGTGACCCGTAATGAAGAGTAGAAAAGTCTATGGAAATAGCGTCCGACGGACATCCGTTCTCGTCGTACTGGAATAACAACGTGTTGCGGTGGTAATCACCGTGACATATGACCGATAATGGTTCTTGGGCTTTTAATGTCTGCATTAGAGTTTTATCCGCGTCGTCGAAGAGCTCATTTAAGAGGTGAATTTGCACGTGGTCTTGATACCTGTCCCGGTCTCGTTCCAACAGTCGGTTCACACCTCGTTTACCACACTTCTTAAAAATATCGTTCTGGGACATCCAGTGCCCGTTGGCATCAAATTGTATGCTCTGAACGTTTTCTAGGATATCGTAAATTCTGCCCGGATATTTGTGTTTGGCAGTATACGACAGTCCATGAAACCTTATCGTAAAGAACAATCAAATTTTATAAAGAACTTGAGAAAAATGTAATCGTCAAAAATATTTCAGGTAAACTTACTTTGCTATTGTCTGAAGTGCGATTGTTAAATGCTCGTAGTCCAAGAACGATTTTTCATTACTAAAACAATAACCTATTGTACTAACATTTTCGATAATAATTACATCATTTGTCATTAATTTACTAAATGTGTTACGACCATAAAAAAAACGTGGTAAAAAGTAGGAATGTGCATCATTAGCTGTTGGTCCCCGGCACTTTAATAGAAACGGCATGATATTTTTGTAAAAAATTAATTCATTATTAAACAATATGTCACATCCAAAACAATCACGTAGTTCCAAATTTTTAATTTTTAACTTTACCATAATGTTGTAATGTGATCCGTCTGAAGTTATCATGTTACAAAATATTCGGTGATACCACCATTCTTCTTCACCAGTCATACAGTTATATAATTTGAACGACAATAAGCTACAATTTTTCCCGAATGCACCTTCACTGACAATTGCCTTTAATTCTTCTTCAACGAAATGTTCCATAATTAATACTAATATGGTTGGTTGCAATATAATATACGTCTTATAGATATGTTATTTAATTTTTAACTAATAATTGTGTACAATTAACAATTTCACAACAAATCATATATAATATTATCTCGAAGTCCCACCTTTAAGAACACTTATAAACTTACATATTTCATAACATGGTAATCTGCAGTAGATAAATAAGAAGTTATCAACAATATTATATAGTTTATTGTTTCTTTTTTTTTCAAACCATTTATGCTTTTATATATTGATAAACCAGTGAAGGTCAAATGATTTTGACATGGGGTTTTGACATTTATTTTATGTCAGTTAGATTTAAGAATTGAAAATATTTTATTTTAAGAACCAAGTATGAAATATTTAACAATAAGTAAGAATAAAAAGGTGATCAAGTGGGTTATCATTTTATTAATAAATCATCAACTTGTTGTTACTTTATGGTTTACCTTCTACTGAATTTTTTAGTTTTTTGACTCGACAAAAAATGTAATAATGTACTTAAAATATCTATTTAGGGCCGTTCTTACAATGTCCGGTAAAGTGTCGGTTAACGCTAACCGACTGATAACAGATTTTATTACCGGCAGAATTCGGCCGGTTAAGTGTCGGTTAACTTTAACCGGACATTGTAAGAACGGCCCTAAGACTATGTTAATGTAGTTTTTAGATTATTTGGTTACAGTATAAACTGCTTCAAATAATTTTAAATCCTAAGTTATAAAGTTTAAACATTTTATACATTCTTAACTATAAAATAATCTGAGCATTTTTGAGATTTTGGCGATTTTTATCAAAATTTGAACTTTAAAATAGTTTAAAACTCTTAAAAACAAAAACTAACTTATGTATCTTACATATTATTGAACTAGGTACTATTGTCTATTATTACAAATGACGAGGAACCTTATTAGTTATTATACATTTTCAAGTTTTTGACACAACGAAAAAATTGTATAAATGTTTATAGAAACAAACTGTGTCTATAAATAACTCAAAAATAGTCAAAATTCTGTGGTGCATTAAAAATTATAAAATAAAAATTTGATGAAAATTTTAGTATCTATGATCACCCGGTTTTGATTAACACCACCAACAAAACTAATTTTGTCATAAAAAAGTTATACTTGAAAAATCATTTTTTTCCTAAATTATTTTTTATTTTTCACTACACATTTGAAAAGTACTGGGAATTTTCTATTATGACCTCTTAAAATTAAAAACTATATAAAATTTGGTATCAGAAAACATCCTAATAATTGAAAATTAATTCATTATTTTGACAACCTACTTATTGTGTACCTTTATACCCAAAAAAAAAACACATCACTGGAAAATCGATAAATTTATGGCTCTGCTCAGAATCTAAAATACAAGGACAAGATACAATGAAGTTAACTTAAATGGTTAGTGCTATTACAGTTCATTGAGTTTGAATTAATAACCAGATTTGAGTGCATGTCTCACGTCTGTGTAGCCCATGTCAACGAAATGCTGAACCATGTCAGCCAAGCAATCGGTTGCCATGTCGCCTCCCCCCCCATCTCCAGAAAGTAGTCCAAAAGGTCGTCACTCGTCACCAACGAATCCAATGTATCGCTTCTGTCGCGTAACATGAATGGCACGCAAAACGTCGCTTTTGCAAATCCATTGACGGTTGTCGCGGCCATCTCGGCATCCATTTCGGCGCGATCAGGTACACGGATGCGGCCAGTGCGGCGCAGTAGGTATCCAGCAAGTGGTCCCAGTGTGACTCACGCATCCGCTGCGTGGTGGATATGTATAGGAATGATGACAGGTTCAAAGCAGGTGACCCGTAATGAAGAGTAGAAAAGTCTACGGACATCCGTTCTCGTCGTACTGGAATAACAACGTGTTGCTGTGGTAATCGCCGTGACATAAGACCGATAGTGGTTCTTGGGCTTTTAATGTCTGCATTAGCGTTTTGTCGGCGTCGTCAAAGAGCTCGTTCAAGCGGAGCATTTGCTCGTGGCCTTGGTACTACTTTTCCCCGGCCCGTTCCAACAGTCGGTTCATACCTCGTTTACCACACTTTTCAAACATCTGGCTCTGGGACCGCTAGCGTCGTATTGTATGTTTTGAAGGTCTTTTATAATATCGCAAATTCTGCTCGGATCTTTGACGTGTTTGATAGTAAACGACAGTCCATGAAACCTTATCGTAAAGAACAATCAAATAACCTTAACGTGAAGAGAAATCAAATTTTATATAAAATATATTTTAGTTAAACTTACTTTGCTATTTTCCGATGTGCAATTGTTAAATGTTCGTAGTCCAAGAAAACTTAGGCATTGCTTAAACAATATCCTAAGCTACTAACATTTTCGATAATAATTACATAATTTGCCGGTAGTTCACTAAATGTATTACGACCATAAAAAAACGTGATACAAATAAGGCATTTGCATCATTAACTGTTGGCCCTCGGCACTCTAATAGGAACGGTACGATCTTTTAGTAAAAAATTAATTAATTATTAAATAAAAAGTCACATCCAAAACAATCAGACATTTCCAAATCTTGAATTTTTAACTTGATCCTTATGCTATAGTGTGATCCGTCCGAAGTTATAATGTTACAAAATACTCTTTTTTACCACCATTTTTCCGTGCCAGCTATACAGTTATATAATTTGAAGGACACTAAGCTACAATTTTTTCCGAACTCACCTTCACTAACAATCTTTTTTAATATTGTTCTTAAACGAAATGTTCCATATCTTATGACAATATTTTCGGTTGCAATATGATATACGTCTTATTTATATGTAATTTAATTGAGTACTTATAACAGTGTATAGTTCATAATTGAATAATTATTTCATAAAATATCATATATATTATCTCAAAGCACCACCATTTAAAGGAGTGGCGTCCGCAGGGGGGGGGGCTAACAGGCTGAAGCCCCCCCCCCCCCATTGCCCGTATTATTATTACTTTAAAAAAAAAAATATTAATCAAGTTTAAACTGTCAACTATAGTAAGCAAGACGTAAATTTCATATATGACTTACCAGAATGAATTCATTTTTGAAAAAACATTGTATTTGCATACCAATTTTCATAAATTATCTGTAATTTTTCCGTAAAAGAATGAACTACTTGTACGAAAGACCTTGTATTAAATTGTCTAGCCTTAGCTGTACATATTTTATATTTTATAAGTTTTGAACTACAAATTAACTGTGGTTAAATTGTTTTGAACTTTAAATGCACATGTATCGTTAATATTTTAGCTATAATAAAAAAACTTACGTATTACATTTCTAAGCTTTTTGACCGGATAAATAATTTTTTATTGACATTCATAAAAAAAAAATTTTAATTAATCAAATACAATCCAAGTGAGGATGGTATAACCAAGCAGGGGCGTATGTAGGATTTTCTTGAGGAGGGGGATATCAAAATTTGTTTAGTGCTGTTGCAACTTTTTGTTAGTTACTCCATGTAAGGTATATAATAATAATAAATGTTGTGTAATGTCTCTCACATGCCCACAGAATAACAAAATTATAAATAACAACAGTACTTCAGCAGTTTGTACTTTATACATGGAAAAAAATGGGTAAGGGAGGGGATCTATCCCCATATCCCCCCCATAAATACGTCACTGTAACCAAGCTACTGTTACCAAACAATTTAAATAAGTTCCAATTAGGTACTTTTAAAAGCACAGAGCAGATTCAATTTCGCCCTCCTAAAAGTACCAACTAGATCCAATTTGCTTTCAAAAACATACACTGGGCATCGAAGCTTATGATAAGAGCATATTTTCTACAAGGAAAGTTGAAAAGTTACAAACATTTTAAAATACCTCAAATAAACGTCTGAAATTATTAGACTGGACAAAATAAAAATAAATTTGTAACTAATTTTCAGCCCCCCCCCCATTGAAAAATCCTGCGGACGCCACTGATTTAAAGCACTTATAACTTCACATATTGATTAACATGTTAATTTGCATATAATAGAAGTTATTGATTTATTCAATTTGAACACCACAATGGCACAGAGTATAGTATTCAATAAGAACATATACAATAGTACATTTGCAACTTCAGAATAAAATTAAACGTACATATTAATTAAATACATTATATTAAAAAATATATCAGTATTCTGCCTTATTTTCATAATTCGAAAAAGTGGATCTAGGAGGAAGTGTATCCATAATCAGTACTATGGAAATTACTTTTGAATGTTAAGCGATGCCTCGAGTTAAAATATGAAACATCGATGGGAAGTAGAATTAATTCAACCGTTAAGAGCTAAGTAGCTTAAATACAAAAGAAACAATATTAATATCAATTATATATTTTTGTTTGTTATTTATTGTGTCTTTTTTTTTTATGTATTCACACTTTATGTACCTATTGATGAACAATCAAAGTAAAGTACATTCTGTTTTTTATGAGAAAATTATAGGCCTATAGCTTTTTAGTCCAATGTATTTAATCCATTAAACATAATGTATAATTTATTATTTTATTGAAATTGTGAACATTAATAAAAATTATGAAAAATAATGGTATAAACTATAAATATTTCACAGCCAAAAATAATACATTAAATAAAAATATATTTGAAAATAATTCAAATCTAAAATTATCTGATGGCAATGGATTTCATAAATATATTAAGAAATTAGTAGGCAAAAAATAAGCAGTGCTCGGAAATTCTAGCAAATGCATATTTTTCTTGGTTCATCCTAGAATATCCAAAGTAAGATACAAATATGTATCATACTTCTCTGATGTCATACACAAAATTTTATTTTGTTATTTTTTGCATAATTACGGTTTTTTTTTGCTATTTTGCTAATTTAGGGTTTATAGCGCTATTTTTGGGTATATTTTCATAATATACAAAATATATAAGTACCTACATATACCTACGTGTTCACAAAAAATAGGAAATTATCACATTATGTTGAAAATAATAATTAATTTGGTTAGGAAATAAATAGACCTTCTAAGTACACTTTTACAAACATATTTAAGTAATTTAATATATTTGCTAACAGTTTATAATTCATCTAGTCCTGACAATTCCTGACGTCTATGAGCTCAACAATTTTATAAAATTGTAAAATTATATCTAATTTTTTCCAAATAAATTAAAATTTTTTCAAGTTACATTTAATATTTTGTGATTTTTTGTGATATTTATAGAGCATATTTTGGAGTTTTTAAGTGCATATTTAAGAGCTAAAAAGTAACATTTTTAGTGCTACAACTTCCAAACACTGGTAATAAATTATAACTTGGGGGACGAGGTGGCCGAGCGGTCGGACACGTCGTCTGCGGCGCTGGCGGTCGCGGGTTCGATCCTCTCGACCACTGTGCGGTATTTTTCTCCGGGCAAGTCACGGTGTCCGGAGAACAAGTGCCGCCATCCCCCACTCCGGGGCATGGCAGAAACCTACGGGTGCCCCATTCAAAATTCTGCCAAAACCCAACACACACGTGTTCCTCCCCTACCGTAATAACAACACACAAAAATAAAACCACTAACACCCAATGGCCTATGTTGCCGCGGGTTATCCAATAAAAAAAAAAAAGAAAAAAAAAAATTATAACTTATTGTTATTAATTAGACAATTACAATAGTATAATAAGGAATAAGTTTATTTATAATTTATCAACAAACGATAATTATATAATCTATTCGAATTTGCAATTATAAATTAAATTTAAAATAAATTCATAAGACTTATTAAAAAAAACTTTATAAATAGATGTATTATACATACTATAGAAGTATTTAGAATTATATATTATAGAAAAATACACAAATAATAATTACATTAGCTAGATTTTTAGAAATTATTGTTGCCACACATACATTCATACAACCGTTCAAACCGTTCCTTCCCCTACAAACGAAAAAAACAGCTGATGGCCATAGTTAAGCTTAATAAAAAAAAAGTCGATCTGCTGTACAGTAAGTTACAAGTGGGTCACACTCCGTCACAGTAATGGATGGTGTTAAATTTGAATTCAATGATATAATATCATTGTATAAGAAAACCGATTCTAAGCGAAAACGGTCAGTTATGATATTATTAAGTATATTTGATGATATTACGGTGAAAAGAGTAATTTATATATACCTATTTACGTGGAATCTTATTTTAAATTTTCAATCCTTAGCTATAAAAGTTGAACATTTTATACATTTTTAACTACAAAATTATTATTAAATTTTAAATGTGATAAATGTTGTCAAAATTTGAACTTTAAATGCTTATAAAAAAAATTTGTGCCAATGTATTTTTAATATTATTCAACTGCTATTTTAATAATATATCAGGAGCCTTACATTACATTTTCATGCTTTTTTACCCAACAAATAAAATTTTATTGATATTTATAGAAAAAAAAAACTAAAAAAATTTAAAACTGACAATATCAGTAAACAGCTCAAAAAGGGTCAAATTATTTTCAAAATTGTATGGTGTATAGAAAATGCTTATATAAACATTCAGTGAAATTTTCAAGTATCTACAGTCATTCGTTTTTTTAATTAAAATAAAATAACAAAACCGCTACATGAGATGAAATCGATTGAATATCCTTATTGTAAAAATATGAGCTTCAAATGCTCATACAATTTTATTTGTCTTTCTTATAGACATTTTTTTTTTGATAAAATTAGATAAACTTATGAGTAATCTTGTATTACATTTTCAAACCTTGGATTTAAAAAGAAAAATTTGTATGAATTCTCAACTCAAAATAATTTACTAAATTTCTATATTTTTCCGTATTTTGTCAAGATTTGAACTTTAAATGCTTATAAAAAAAAACTGTGACTAAGGATTTTTAATCTTTTTCAACTACTATTGTAACAATATAGTAGGAGTCTTGTATTACATTTTCAAGCTTTATTACCCAACAAATAAAGTTTTATTGACATTCATAGAAAAAAAGACTAATAAATTGGAAACTGGAAATGTTCCTAAACAGTTCAAAACAAATCAAAATATTTTGAAAATTTTATTGTGTATAGAAAATGCTAATATAAACTACCAGTGAAAATTTCATGTGCATACGTTTATTCGTTATAGAGTTACACCAAAAACCAAAATCGATTTTGTGGAAAACCGATTTTGCGTAAAAATTCCTGTTTTACTTTAATTTTTATGTTGTTTTTCCAGTCACTATTCTAAACTATTGGGAATTTAAAATTTGACTTTCCGAATGAACCAACTAGATTAATTTTGCCATCGAACAAGATACTGTTGAAGAAAATAGAAGCAGTTTTACTGCTCTAAACAGTACAGACACAAAAATACAAAAAAAATTTTAAAAAAAAATACACATCATTGTAAAAACAATACATTCATCATTTAAATCAGTATCTAAATATAATAATAATAATAATTACATAAATACTCTTTAGAAGGTATTTGACTATTACAGTATTACATAACACTAAAGTACCTATATCAAAGTAGCAACAATTATAAAAAAATATTAGCCAGATATAATATATTACGATGTATACAAATGCAATGTAATAATTATTGATTGTTTCAGTGTACATATTTTAAGTATCTTAAGAACTAAATATAAAACATATTTTGCAATTAAAAATAAAACAAAGATTAACATTAACTTACACTAGGTATCTTAATATTTCATCTCACTGATTAAATAGCTCTGGTTAAAAAGTATTTAATACGATCACCGGAGTTGAGCTCATACAGCGTAATGAAAAATCAAAATTTAAAATAACTTTCAACAATTATCCAATGGAACGTAGAATTCTGGAATGTCAATATCATGGAACGTAAAATATCCGGAAAGTGTTGTATACGAATAATGATTCTGAATGATGACCGCCTGTTAGCCTATATTTGTAAGAATATTCTAATATATATATATATATTATTAAACTACTAACGATTTTCAAGTCCCTATAAATAATATTTTTTGAATTACATCAAAAACAACTAATATAGTTTTTTTTAAATATCTAATTTCTTCGACATCTAAAATTTAAAAATGTAGGCTCTGAAATAACAGCTTACGAGGAATCTTGTATTCATTTTTCAAACTTTTTCATCAACAAACAAACATAACTAAGCACCCGCACTCGAGCCACAATTACTCAAGCAACTTTCAATGTTATTTTAATTATTATTATTATTATAATTATATTCATTTAGTGTTTGTATACCAACTGTTACTTTATTGCTGTTATACAGCTGAATCTTGCTAAAATTAAACAACAAATTGTAAAAATTGGCATGTGTAACAACCACTAGATTTTAAAATGTTTGTAAATTATATTCGGCTCCTGTTAGCCCATAAATAGTTAAATAAATTGATATTTTATCCACTTCATGGAAAAACAACTATGATTTTTTTTAACTCAGTTAAGTTAAGTTAATATGCATCAATAACAAAAAGTTAAAAGTTAAAAGTTAATTTAACTATAGGTTAACTCAGTTAAGTAAAAAGTTAATACACCCTTTTTGTTAGCTTTTTATTAAGTTAAGAAAAAGTTAATTTGTTTATATAAAGCTAGTGTACTTAATTTTTTTCCAACCCAAAACTATATTATAGATTATAGTGTTTATACTTTATACAGTATTTCTATATAAGTTAGATTTGAATGATATACATTTTTAACTTTAAACAATTCACAGTAAATATTTTTTGACATGTAAACGAAATAGACTGAAATACTGAAATATAATTAAATTAAAAATAAAATAATTTAACAATTTCATTTAAACTGAAAAATGAATTCGTTAATTTCACGTTAATTTAAAAAAAAAAATTAGTAAGTTAACAGTTAAGCTAATGAAAAGCTAAAAGTAACTAGTTAAGTTAAAAAGTTTAAATTAAATTAACTTTTTAACTTAATTTTAACTTTTTAACTCCTTAATGCCCATCTTTGATTATAACTAATCGATATGAATGATTTCAACTTTTTTACTGTTTTCCATAACTGCAACTGTAAAGCTCAGAAATTATTTCTTTGTATCCAGCTCAAAACCATATTATGTACGTTATATTAAACCACACACAACATTGTAAAACGAGTATATTCATGGCTCCGCTCAGAGTATATCAACTGCTTGATTTATGTACTTTATAGGTGTCACTTTTGGAAATTATATGTTTCGTTATTCGTCAATATAGTTTGTTTCTATACATATTAGGGCATTTGCTACTTGGAACACGTGTGTACATGTGGGGCAAGGATGGCACTAAAAATCCCTGGTGGTCACCCATCCGGGAACTAGTGTCACCGGCCGGTGTGAACACGCAGAGCATATTCGTGAATGAATGCAAACGCCGAGTCACAAATAGTAAATAATAGGTACCTACAAAATAAGAAAAAAGTTGTTGGAAAATCAGTATTTTATTTTAAATACTAATACTTTGAGATGGTATACTTAAAATACTGCTTCTATAGGTACTTTCTCGGAATGAGTTTAAATATACGTATTTACATTTTAAGCGCTTAAAAATTATTTGAATACTTTTACCCAATTACAACTACTATTAACCGAGTGCTTTACAAGGCTGCGTGTATGCCATGTCGACCATGTGCTGAACCAGGTCAGCCAAACACTCGGTGCCCACATCACCACCCAACACCAGAAAGTAGTCGACAGGGTCTTCGCTGGTCACCATTGAGTCCAACAAAGGGTCACTGTTATCCCGCAGCTTGTATGGCAAAATAAACGACGCCCCCACGAACCCGACGATGGCGGACGCGGCCATCTCGGCGTCCAGTTCGGCGCGATCCGGGAATCGGACGCCGGGCGGGACGGCGGCGGTCAGCGCGGTCCAGTACGCGTCAAGCAGGTTGTCCCAGTGAGTCTCGCGTACCTGCTGTGTGGTGGTCGTGTACAGGAACAGCGACAGGTCCAGCGCGGGTGACCCGTAACGCAATTCGAAGAAGTCCATGACGAGCGCGTCGGACGGGCGCCCGCAATCGTCGTATTGGAACATGACGCTACCACGGCTATAGTCTCCGTGGCACAGGACGGACAGGGGTTCGTGGGCGCCCAACGCGCGCCGCAGTGTTTCGGTGGCGTCGTCGAACAGCTTGTTCAAGCGGTGCAACTGCTCGTGGTCACGGTACCGTCCCCCGTCACGCTCCAACAGTCGGTCCACGCTGCGTTTGCCCATCCTCTTCAACATGTCATTTTGGGCCATCCAGTGGCCGTTTCCGTCAAACTGCAGGTCTTGGACGTCGGCCATCATGTCTCGAAATCTGCTGGCATTTTTGTGTTTGGCTATGTACGACAGCCCGTGAAACCTGTGCACATAAACAATAACTTCAGTAATCGAATTTAAAACATTATCCTGATACGTCGAGTCTGCCGTGTCATGACCAACGTGTCATAGATCATTTTAGCAGACAATTAAATGGGCCAATCGAAATACGATAACAGGCACTCAACACGGCAGGCGACAACGATATGAATCCGTAGTTTTCCATTTGTTTTAGACGCTACCTAAAATGTTTAAGTGTTGTCACTGCAACTTTTCAAAAAATTCTATTCTATATGGTATATTTTCAATTTAACGGTATTTTATGATTAGATCTACGTGTCACGGTGTCACACTATACCTCTTTGATGTTATGATTATGTAATGCTCTTTTATCATTTATTTTACTATCAGTTTTTGTGACGTGGTGATATTTCATACACAATACGTGTTTAGTAAATAACACGAGATTATTACTTAGTAATAATCGTTTTTTCAATCAATATTTATGTACTTACAGGCGTGGATACAAGGGCTCCATTAGGCCTTAAGACTTAGGTACTTAACAATATTTCACTCTTGCCTACGTAGTTATGGAATATTATATGCAATTCAATATAATTTTGTTATTAAAGTTTGTTATTATTTCTATTTTATAATGCACGTACCTATGATGAATATTTTATTCACTATAAAAACTGAAGCTTAATTCCTATGCTTTTGTGTACTTGAAGTGAAATTGTTCATCTTTCCCCTCCCTTTTTTAATTTAACAATCCATGCCCGTGTACTTATAAAATATGCATATTTTTTTTTTTTGTAATTTATATAATATTGTAAATTTTAAACTACACAATCTAATTTATTTTATTCACGTCTAATAAAATATTTTATTTTTTTCTGAAATCAAACCAACTCACTTTGCAATAGCCTGAAGTGCAATGATTAAATGATTGTTGTCCAGGAAAATTTGGTCTTCGGTAAAATGGTAGCATAAGGTATTGACATTTTCGAAAATAATTAAATCCTTTTCCGCTAATTCGCCGCCGTTGTTACGACCATAAAAAAACCGTGGTAAAGACAGAGCATTTACTCCATTTACCAACGGTCCACGACACTCTAATAAGAATGGTATGATCTTTTCATAAAAGTTTAATTCATTTTGGAATAGTACATCAGATTCAGAACTATCACGTATCGTTTGATCGCGATTTTTTAACTTGATCAAAACGGAGTAATGGTTTTCGTCTGATGTGACAATGTCCCCAAATATTGCTTTGTACTTCCATTCTTTTTTTTCAATATTTTCATTATACACGTTGAACGACACTAAGTTACAATTTTTACCGAACGCACCTTCGGCCACGATGGCCTTTATTTCTGTTTTAATGAATAGTTCCATAACTTTTAACTTTTATTACACTCTTTGGCTGTGTTAAACGTCTTTTTAAGTGTGGTGAAATTACTAACTAATGATAATATTCATTTATTTAATAGTGTAATGAGATATACTATCTCTCTGCTCCACTCATAAATCATATGCACCAATTAAGTTTTATGTTTCACGTTATCAGTCTGATACAGTACTTTTATAATATGGTCTAATCGGGTTAAATAAACAAAACTGACAATAATACAATTCTCAGCACATCCAGAGAACACGTGATAAGTAGGTACATAAGTGGGCCCAGAAGCGATCTCATTAATATTTCAATATAATTAGGAATACATTTTAGAAATCAATAATTATGAATATATAATATATATAAATATTACATTTTTATCATTGTTTTAACTTTATTTAAATTTTAAGTTTTTAAGAATATCTGTCGTTTAGGAATAAAAAAATTTTACAAACTATAAATTATTGGTTTGTATACAATCGTTGTCTTTTCGTAGAAAATGTTTTAAAGTATGTATTCATGAGTCATGACCTAAATACTTGTATTAATATTTTCAAACAAATTGACATTCAACTAAAAGTCTACCATATGTTTTCATTTATTGTTTCAAGCTCTGCAAATCATTTTAAATTATATTAGGCATTTAGGCAATATCATTTGAACCCATATGGCAATATCTTTATATTACACTTTTTACACCGTACACTTTTTTTACTTTTAAATAATCAGAATATGTTATCATGGCGGCCTGTTGAATATAACACATTGTATAAATAATTTAACTTTAGTAACTAATTATACATGCAATATACACATGCATATTACTTATTACAGAATGCATCTCAATAATCGATAATATACACAATGTTAGAAGTTATAACCCACTACATACACATTTTAACAATATACAGTTAGAATAACGTTACTTCATACAATTTAATAAGCTTGTACATTCTTCAAAAGTTCTTCTTACAGCAACCAAAAATACAATTTAAAATATAAAAATTATGCACAATTTTTTCCATAGACATTTCGTTGAAATTTAAAAAAAATTGGATATATTAAACGTTAAATAACCAATAAATTAGGCAAATTGTCTTCGCTGATAATGGTATTCATAATTCATCATATTTACCTGATACAGGTGCTTTGATTTACCATTGAATTCAAATTGAACACATCCATTACCGTGACATAGTCACATAGATACTCTCAACATCTACAATACAGCACTAACAATTTGTAAAATTATAAGGATTAAAAACAATAGTAACAGAGTTTCATTAGTTTTAATATTATAGTACATTGCCCTAACCCATGTAAATTCATTTAACTTAAAAAAAATCAACATACTGCTATCAACCGACGTAATAGTTATTTACTAAAAAACTAAACAATTTTTTTGCAAATAAATCCGGTTGTTCAGTTTGAAGTCTTCATTCCCTGGTGGGTATGCGGAGTTGGTTGCCGAGTTTGTTTTTTGAACGGGTTCATACTACCGCAGTGAAATCAGACAGACACTGGGCCTGGGCCACTGAATAAGAGACGGCGGTAATAAGCCTGCTGAGAGCCATTACCTTCCACGGAACTGTTTTTTGTTGTTGATCGAAATTCGAGCGCCTCACGCGTGCAATAAATCATGGGAAATTATCAGTTTGAGTGCAATACTGATGTAATACATGCACCAACGTTCAGGTAGGTTATCTCCCAAACACCGACACATTTATTATTATAATATTTATTTATTTATTTTATTATAGAATGTATATAAATTATAAACTGATGACATTGATAATTTTTATTGAACAAGTAGTTAAACTATGGACGTGCATAATTAGATCTGCTAATTATTAATATTCATCTAATAATTCACTACTTTATAACATTTGGTCTTTATACTTTCTTTCATTCGTTCTACCATATTCCATATTAAATGTTTTAACATACCTACCTAATCTGTTTATAAATTATGTTTTCATTAAAAAACAGGAGAATGGCAGTAATATGAATTTCGATATATATATATATATATTATATATGGTTGTTTCAATTGGAGATATTATATACTTTGTAACTAATTTATAAAAATAAAGATTTGTTTTAAAAAAAAAAAAATTATGAGATAAATTAAATTTTGATAACCCTCAAAAATTAACAAAAATATGTGACCCACTGATTGAATATTGGTTATTTGCATTTTCTAATAAATGTTTGTATGTGAGTTGGTCCTCAGAATTTTCGTCAGCAATATATATTTATTTGAGTATAGCCGTCACTGCAAATACTTATGCGAAACGACCTGTTCGTTATGTGTGTGATACTACGATAAGAACGACACGTGCGCTATTGAATTTCGGCGCCGACTAGTACAGTGAAAATAAAACGATATATTTTATACTATATAATTAATTATAATATATTAATTATTATGATAAGCCAAACATCGCTCAGAAACTATATTTAAATTAAATTAATTATAATTTATATTTTATAAATGATAATGGTAATAAATGTATTACTATTTTCAATTGATTTACTTTTATTAGTAATTTTGTTTTAGTATAAAATATATGATGGAAGTTATAATTTTAAGATATAAAAAGCCTGATAGTAAGCAAATATTTAGTAAAAATAAAGCTAATATTTCAAAAAAAAATTTAACCAATATGAATAGTTAGGTAACGTAGGTAATGATAAATAATAATAATTATTGGTATGACCCTATTTCATGTGAACTGTTTCAATATAAATAGTCTCACTCATTATCTATATAACTATTTGAGTGATTAAGTACGATATGTAGTCATATTATAATGTTATAAAATTATACCATTTATGTCAGTACAACTTTCACTACAAGGGCACAGCAAAATAAGGCACCATAATATTATAAAATCAAAATGTACTTTTGTTTTATTATTATGAAAACTACAGTTTATTACGAGTGTTGCACCCAGTTCCGATTCATTTAATACAATAAATCTCATAATATAATACAAGGATAATTTAACAAGAATTTAGGTAATGTATGGAAATCTGCAGACTTAAAAAATAAATTAATAAAGAATACGTGTGATTGTATCCACGCATGCGTATAAGTAATAAGAGCATTAGGATCATGTTTTGGCATACGACGTGTCCAAATAGTGTTGGACGATGTCAGCCACCCATTCGGTGGCCAGTTCACCACCAAATGACAACAGAATCTCCAAAACCTTATCGTTGGACATTTCAATGAACTCCAATGGATCGATTGGTTTCTGTTCCTCCAACATGATCCGCAAGAAAAACGCCCCATGTGCCAACCCGTAGAACGCGTGCTCACGGATTTCGACATCCAACCGACTACGGTCCGGCACCGGGACGTCACCGGCGACAGTGTTCAGCGTTTCGCAGTAGGCGTCAAGCAGTGCGTCCCAGTGATCTTCCCGAGTCCGGCGGTCAGTGTTCATGTACAAGAAGAAGGACAAGTCGAGAGCAGGCGACCCGTACCGGACGGTGGCCATGTCGTACGCCAGCGCGTCCACCGGCCGGCCTCCATCATCGTACCGGAACAGCAGGTTGTTTCGGTTGAAGTCGCCGTGGCACAGGACGGAAAGCGGTTCGACAGGTTCCATTACACGTTTCAGCGTCTTGATCCCATCGGCCAACAGCTCCGTCCGAAACCTTTGCTCACGTTGGTCATCTTCACCACCATTGCCGCGACGTACCTTTAGCGTGTCCAGAGCCAAGGAGAGCAGATCTTCAATTCGTCTGCCTATTACAAGCCACTGCCCATCATCGTCAAACTGCGTGTCCTTCACCTTTACCACCAGATCCATGAACTTGATTCGGTCCACGTGCTTGGCTCTGTATGATAAACTGTGAAACCTATGACCAAAGCACAAATATAGTCACTGTCATTATCGATCTATATAACATCGCAGTGACGAGCGTTTGTATGTTATAGTTTACTACGGGACATTTACACGAGCGTATTATAATATGATCGTATTAATATCTATTGTCGTATGTTTGCTTCTTCTCACAAAATAAAGTATCAAAGATGCATCAAATTTAAAAAATAAAAATTGTTGTTATTTGTTAGCTTAGGTTAATGAAAATCTATATTGTCATTTTGATATTATGAACGTAGCTAAATATTTATTTACATACAAGCAAAATGATGCGATCGGAAACTGCTATGTATTAGGTTATGTTTGGTAACCCATAATGTGTTTGATTGAAAACTCGTCTAAATTATAAACACTTTGATTTCAAAATAAATCTCCACCAACTAACTATTCAAGTAATTACCTATGGCCCCCGTTAAGTAATTCAACCCGAATATAACATGGTTATACGTCCCACTCACTTTGCTAGAGATCTGAGTGCCACGATCAGGTGTTCGAAATCCAAACACAGCCGATGTTCGGTTACCGCAGACCGGTATCCGCGGTCAGACTCGTTTTCCAAGACGATCACATCCCGTGGCGCCAGGTCACTGCAGTCGTTGCGCCCGTAAAAGTAACGACAGAGCGATGGCGTCGCGGAATCGTCTCTGTCGCCCTGCGAGGAGCAGCCCAACAGGAACGGTGCAATCCGTTCGTAGAACAGTATTTCATTGTGGAACTGCTTGTCGTTCTTAATTAAGTCCCGCATCTCAGGCATCGGGTGTTTGAACTTGAACACTAATCGATGTATTTGGTGTTGGCAGTCACGATCCTCGACAGCAACCGTACCGTACAGTACCGATGAAGCGAACTGATCCCGTTCGGTATGCTGGCCGTCCAGAGCGAACGACACGAATCGGCTATCCGGTCCGAACGCTCCGTTCTCGATCATTTCAGCAACCGCAGCCGCGCTCGCCGTGGTCGTCATCGTCGCCGGTTCCCGGTGGGTTAGAGGTGTGCACCTGCGTGTAAAACACCCAACGGCGGTGCTATAGTGTGGGTAAGCGGAGTGGGTGGACCGAGTTTGACTTGGCCGGGTTCGTGTAACCGCTGCAGCAATCGTCACCGTACTGAAATCGAACGGACACTGGGTCGGGGCCACTAAACAAGCGTAGGTTTTATACCGTCCGAGAGCCGTTCCCTCCGAGGTACAGTTTTTCGTGACGAATCAAAAGTCGGGTGCGTTACAAGTACCCGAGAGTCAAATGCGTACAGTAAATCATTTGAAATTATCAGCTCGAATATAATACTGACAGTATACCTGCACTGACGGTCATGTAGGTTATAGTCCAAACACGGACCCATTAATTAAATATAATATAATATTAGTTTATTATAGAAGCACGGATGTCAGTCGACGAGCTAACTATAGGCTTAGCAATACCGTGGGAATATGGCTAATTACATGGTGTAGATGACAAAAATTGTTCCTAGTTGACGGTTCGGCAGTCAACCAAGGACGAGAAGTAGGAGGAGTAGGTACAGTCTTATTTCCCAGCGCATCTGTCTGTTTAAATTACACTTCATAGTTCACCATCGAATCCTTCGCTTAAGTCCCAGTTAATTGCGGTGTGAATATTTAAATATAATGATATTATACACCAAAACGCACTTCATTTTAATTGTTTTAAATTTGTTCTATCGTATTGCATATTTGTTTTAACGTTATCTGTAAATATTATATTCTTTGTTTTGTTATTTATCATTTAATATTATGTAAAAAGCAAACGACTATTGACTGTTTTATCGATAATAAAATGATTTATGAAAATTGTCTATTACAACAAACATGCCGGAACATTAAGATAAGAGCAGCTCTAGATAACGGAATTGAGTAGATATTCAACAAAAAAATTGTACGAGTATTTTAATGCTGTAAAATAAAACAAATTTTACATTTACACCAATATACGTAGTTTTCCTAAAAAAACTCACCATCCATACACTGTAGCAGTTTTCATAACAAGTTTCACTCAATATTTCATGGGGGATTGGAGCTAACACTATAGAGTATACAGCTTGTAGCAAGAACACCTGAGTACCCAACAGATGAAATAACTTTTGTTTTAATCAATATTTTTAAATTTTTTTTATATATTATAAGTTATAGTCACTTCAAGTATAATATAACAAAAATATTTTCAATTTTTAAAAATGAAAATAAAGAAAACAAAATAATCAATTTGTAAATCTGATTGAAAGAACAATTTTTAATGGTAAAAACATTTATCTAAGTTAAGTAGTTTATTTTTTTAAATATAAATATTTTTTTGAGTAAATTAATTAATAAAATTATAATGTAATACAATTTTTCAAAAATATTATTTCCTAACATGAGTATATTTCTTAAATTATGTATAAGTCATATACTTTACAAAACTTTTGTCATACGTTTAAGTATCATAATTTTTATTTCAACTTCTTGCTACACCAATTATTATACCTACTATTCTTCCATTAACAAACAATAACTGTTCATAATAATGTAGTAAGCGAGTTACTACCCAACATTTAAAGTTCCGACAGGTAACATATTTAACATAATATACTGTAGATAGGTAATGATTAGATATATCAAATAGAAACTAGTTAACCTTTTCGGTTGTACTTAATCAAAGAAACCATGGGGAGTATAACGCCAAAAACGAACGCATAAACAAAATTGCGATTAATAAATGTAAGGCTCAAGGAGAAACGATATTCAAAATAATACCACAGTAGATTAACACGACTTTGCAATCATGTAGAATAGGTGGATGTGATAAATGCGATAGCGTTATATGAGAGAAATTCAATATATAAATAGTATGGTTTATTATAATAAAATTGACAGTCACAAATTATCTGTCAGTACATTATAATAATACCCAGAATAGATTAGGAATTTCGCAAGTGCGTAGTTAGGTCGATGGCCACATAGACCACATCCGTTAGAACCGAGATCTAGGCAAGGGGAGCGGGAGCCGGACTAAAGAGGGACCCCGAAACGGCCTGTATTCAGACTTGTCCACTCATCGCTACTACAAGCACCTTCACGCGACTCTGTGTAACGATTGTCATTTGAACTTAGCACCATTGTAATAATTGGAACTCTAAAATAAACAACAGTATAATTTTGCAATGTAGGTACTTTACGATTGAGTAAGTAACTCGTAACTGTAATAGATGAGTTAAATTGAAATTCAATAATAAATTATTGCATACGAAGTAGGATTCTGAGATAAGCATATTTAAGTTCTCGCAATATACGTTAAGCAGCTCGTCCCAGTGATCGTCCCGCGTCTGGCAGTCCATGTTCAAGTACATGAAGTACGATAGATCTAGTGCCGGCGATCCATAACGGATGAGGGCCATATCATACTCCAGCGCTTCCAACGGCCGGCCATACCGGAACAGTAAGTTGTGGCGACCGGAGTCGCCGTGACACAGAACGGACAGCGATTCGTCCGGTTTCATCACACGTTTTAGCGTCTTTCCAGCATCGGCCGACAGTTCTGTTCAAAACTGTTGCGCTTTTTGGTCATATCCACCACTGTCACCTTTACCCTTTACCAACATGTTCAACGCAGTTGAAAGCTGCAGTCCTTCGAGCGCTATGCTACTTAGGTACCATTTTCCTTCAGCATTAAACCGCGTTTCATCCACCTTAGCCACCAGCTCCATAAATTGAACTCGATCTATATGTTTTGTCCTAAAAGACAAGCTGTGAAACGTTTAGTAAATTTATTTGGCGGAAGGTATAGATACTGCGTATGTCAACGACGGCATCGTAGTCGTATTATAAGATAGATGAAAAAAATTAAAAATCCTTAGTCACATTTTTTTTTTCAAATATTGACAAAATGATGAATATTTGAAAATTATTTTGAGTTAGAAATTCATAAATAATTTTCTTTTTAAATCTAAGATTTGAAAATGTAATACAAGATTCCTCATAAGTTTTTCTACATTTATCAAAAAAAAATGTCTACAAGAAACTCAAATTAAATTTTTATGAGCATTTGAAATTCATATTTTTACAACATTTGATGTTCACTCGATTTCTCATGTAACGATTTTCTTATTTAGTTGTAATTAAAAAACGAATGACTGTAGATACTTGAAAATTTTACAGAATGTTTATATTAGCATTTCATATACACCATACAATTTTGAAAATATTTTGACTCTTTTGAGGCTGTTAACGGACATTGTCTGTTTTCAATTTTTTTAGTTTTTTTTTTCAATAACTATCAATAAAATTTTATCTGTTGGGCCAAAAAGTGTAAAAATTTAATACAAGGCTTCTGATATATTGTTACAATATCAGTTGAAAAATATTTAAAATACATGCCCACAATTTTTTTTTATAAGCATTTAAAGATCGAATTTGGACAAAATTTATCAAATTTAAAATTGAATAATTATTTTGTAGTTAAAAATTTATAAAATGTTCAACTTCTATATCTAAGGATTTAAATTTTAAAACAAGACTCCACGTAAGTAGTTGATTCTGTTACCAAAAAATCTAAAAAATACATAAGCAAATTTTATTTTTATAGTCATTTTAAGTTCAAATTTGGACGAAATTACATAATAAAAAACCTAGAATAACTATTTTTGTTATTTTGTTATGAGTGTATAATATTATTCGTGGGTACTTGAAACTTCTAAAGTACACTATTATATATCTATGATAGTATCAGAGTTTTTTGTTGATGTATAACTCGTTATAAGTACCTAATGGATATTGTGATATGATTGTACCTATTATAGGTCAATTTTTTTTACACCATAGATATATCTATAATATGTCTTAAACCTAGACTGACTACCGTCTCCGCTCAGAATCGTTTTTCTTATACAATGATATTACATCATTGAATTCAAATTTAATACCATCAATTATACAGTGGCCCACTATTGTAACCTACTGTACAGCAGAGCACCTTTTTTTTATTTGTTTTTGTCATTGGTTGCAGATAGTAATAGTAGACATTTATAGTATAATTATAAAAGGTTAGTAGTTAGTCACTATATACACAAGTGATAATTTTTCAGAATATTTATCTGTTTCAAATCTTAGTGTTTGACAAAATTCTACTACAGTATCATGGGTAAAAAAATAATAAGCGTCGTACCAGGTGCACAAATAGAACAAGAAAATTTAAATAGTCTTGATTACACAATTCGATTTTTGATGTCAGTGCAGCGTTAAAAATATTTTATAACATTGATTAAAGACATTATTGTAAACAGTCTGTTGACACCTCAAATAGTTGTTCCTATCATCAAACTTTGGATTAAGTAAAAATGACAAACTTGGAATGACATTCAAACTTAACACTTAAAAATTATACACTTAAGTACGCACCTCGCGGGGTCCACAATCTACCGCAGGTAGATTTCCTCAAAGGTGAGAATTAACTAGTTAAAAAGTTAATTTTTTTTTAACTGTTTAACTTAACTAGATAGTTTATTTTCTAATCAACTTATGAACTTAACTAGTTTAATTTACACTTGAAATAACTTAGCTTTTCTCAATTGATTTTAAAATAAATCCATCAAGTTAAAAACATTTTGAAATTTTTCATTTATACGTAAATATTACTATATCAGTATAAAATAAAAATAATCTTTAAAAAATACATAGTGTATAGTTATACACTATGTATTTTTTAAAGATTTTTTAAATATTATATTCTATTAGTGGTTTTGAGATATTTCAATATTATACTATACATGTAGTTTTTAAAGTTTTTTTCAATGATATATTTTATTTGTCATTTTGACATATTTGTATTGTACACATTTTTAATTTACTTAATCATAACTTTTGATAATATAATACAATTAATATTTATAATCATATTATTGATTGTTTGATAATTTTGATTATTATTAATAAACAATTTTAATCTGTTGGGTGGCACTACTGAGTGCCCTCCCCCATCTGTCATTCACGATATTATGTAAATACTATATCAATATTACTTATTATACTAAATTTTGTATAGATTGTAATTATATTTTAATAAAAAAAAAAAAAAAAATTAATAAACAATATTTTATAACAATTTAGTTTTTATTTTAAATTTTCTATTTTAATAGTTTATATTATATATTATACTACTTATATTAGGTATATAGCTTATATTTATAATAATATTATATACTTTATGTATATAATAATATAAAGTGTCCACGTTCTAAAAATTAAAATGAACATTTTCACTCGACCGTACGAAGTGTCCGCGTGCTGCAATGTAAATTTTTACCCGACGGTACAAATAGTGTCTACGTTTCGCACTTTTAATGTTTGACCTTACAAAATGACCTAGAACCGTCTTCTTAACTTAACTTAACTTAGTTAATTATTTTCATTAACTTGCCCACCTTTGGATTTCCCACCTGGTAATAAACTGCCCGCGTAATCATAAGCGTGTCTCATAGGCAACACCATGAGGGAAAGCTATAAATTATAATATAAAATGATTTACATTTGAAAAGACATTATTGCTTCCATGTGAGTTAAACCCAAAAGGCGTTGAACGATCAAAAATTGTTTTTCTGAGCAACGCTAGTTGTTTATAAAAATTGTATTAATCTAACGAATCTATTTCTAAATAATATGAGATTTTCGTTTATTAATTATTATTTTCAATTCGTGTGATATTTTTACTCGCATATTGTATATAGGATGTTTTATCCTTGGATATTTTTTCTAAATTCCACAAAATATCTGTATTGTAATTGTAGTTTTTTATTATTATTTAAGAACATCATAAATTAAATAAAGAATAAAATTTCAATATAATTTTAAAAATTTGCTATTTTAAACCCAAAATAATTAAATTTTAATTTAAATGTTTTTTTTTTTGAACTTAAAACATATTTTATCATTGAATTTACTTACGTTTATATTGATGTTCCATTATATTTATTTTAAAAACAGGTTCAACGAAAATATGTAATATGTACAATAAAACAGTTTAGAGATAGCTGTTTTCCAATAAGTATATAATTTTCTTATATAATATAATATTCAAGTGTGATGATTTATTATACATGTCTTCTTTTTTTTTACTTGTTCATTGAAACGACCTCTAGGTCTTCGTCAATGCTTATCACAAGTGGGTAGAAGGGAGATCATGTGATCTATTTATCTATGTATATATCACTATATGCATGATACTACCCCCCTTCTCCTGCAAGAGGAGGCATGTGCGGTCTTCACTCCCAGTGGAGTGTGGGACCTAGTTGAAAATCGGATGACGCAATCGGACGACAGCAGGGGGAAATGGTGATCGCGTAGAACCACACAAATTTATTTTGCACTATGCTATGAATCGAACCGATGACTGTGTGAGTCGTAGTCAATTGCATGACCACTTCGCCACTCCGGCCCCAGTTATACATATGAACTTACTTTAATTGTTTTTTATCTAGGTAAAAGCTACATAGAGTAAGTACGTACTTCAACATATTTAACGTATTATCGACTACCGATAATTGCGTGTTATTTTAGCCACAATCCTAGATAAGGTACCTTCAACGTTTTGTTATCTGCAGCCTTTTATTTAAGTAATGCCCCACTTCGTACATAATTTTTAATTAAATATTTAAAATGTAATATTTATATTGTACAAAAGACGATTTTTCCAGTACAAGTCGATTCCAACAGACCACAAAAAGAATACCCCTCAGATTTGTATATGAAAAGTCTACGTGGAAGTACTTGGTCCATGCAGCATATCAATTTGGTATAATTGGCGTGACTGCGTGAGTGATACTTACAGTAGGTGGTTTAAAATTGAAAAAAACTTAATTACGAGAAGTTGCTCATTGGTAAGTGATGAAACCAAAAATCCTAGGATTTTAGGTAATAAAAAAAATAACATTTTAGTCAAGTTATGACTAATCAGTTAAATTAATTGTCAATGGTTTTATAATATACATAGAAATGTGACAAAAAAAGTTCCAGGATTATAACACAACTACACAAGGCATACCTACCTTCAAACCACCTTAATATATACGTGTCATATAGAGTTTATAGTATATAAAAGGCAATTGTTTAAAATTCAACATTAATTTTCATAAGCATTAACCGATCGGAAATTTATTTTTTACGTTTAAAGTCATTACATACATTACGCTATTTATTTTTTTTCACTGTGTAAGCGTTGTATTTAATTAACTAATAAAATTTATATTTTACATTTGTATTAAATTATGTTGACCCATCTCACCCGCTAGTAAATATTTAATTTAACCCATTGTTAATACCAGTGACGTATATAGGAGGGAGGCCCCTAGGCCAGAGCCCATACTGAAATTTCAGGTTCAATTAAAGCATTGCATGTATATTTACACTGTTTACAGTTTTTCACCATAGTTAAGTTAGCCGGTTGATTAAAATCGTTTTTGAGGAATCAACAATTAAATGTCACGATTGTCAGGACTTACTTTGATGACATATTGACTTTGATGTTAAATTCATAGTAAGATAAAATTAAAATATGTAAATGACACTGTCAATATTTTTTAAAAAAGAATCAAAAAATTAATTTTACATAATAATTATAAAATTAAATTCCGCAATTTTTATTTGTACTGTATAATATGTCATAATTTTAACCTCCCAGCTCCCTAAAAAATGTATAGATATGTTTATGTTAGTCTTGCTATGCTTGACTAGTGATAACTGATAAATTGGCCCATAGTGAAAATAATTCGTATATACACCACTGGTTAATACATTTAGAAAATAAAGTATACCACAGTTCCTAAAGGCTAAAAGGTACATTATCGTGAAAATATATTACATACATATATTATTTGCCTTTTGCCATATATTTGTGTAAGACATATATGATTTATACCTACCTTTATTATCTAATTTATCTACTATAAAATAAGAATAATTAAATTTTAATAATTATGATGTAGTTTAGAAAAACATTATAAACTGAAATCTAAGTACCTATTTTTATTATATTAAATGATTCGTCGTATCATATTAAATAGTTTAGCTCTGGCTGCTACATAAAAATTTCACCATGTTCGAAAATATATTTTACATTTGTTACTACAAGCATTTTTTCCCCTTTATAGCTGAACCTCACATTCTCACCATAGGTATTGAATAATTACCTAAATTATAAATTATGTAATGACAAGTTACAGTTCAATGTCGATTACGGTTTTCACGATTATCATATACTTAAGTACTTAAAGTACCTATATCAATTATATATATTTACATCACTCGTATAGGGAGAATTTTCGATATTCTTGTACCAAGAACATACTTGACTTAAGCCGTAATAAATCATATGGCACCGCTGTAATTTAAAATCTTTTTTGACTTTCATAGATCTAATAATTTAATGTTTAATAATGATAGATGATATTATATACTCGTATAATATATTATGGATTATCAGTACCATTGGCAATCTTGTAAGTTAAAAAAATTAAGACTCCGCAAAATTTAATTATATCCTGTATAATGCATATCTATGTTTCTGCATCTTTAAACTATACATAGCTCTGGTTTAACGGTGTAATAATACTACCTATAATAGGTATATGCTGTAAAAAATTTATAAATTAACTTATTTTATTTCCAAACAAGTATAATAATATGAGTAGGTACTTTTATCAATCATTAAGTATTACATTTATGTTACAGGACAATATTTATATTATGATTAGTAAATAAACGTTATTGGTATTATATAAAATATAGTCAAGGATAGTTAACAATGTTCCGAATTGAAAATATCTCTTAAAAGTTAAAACCAATTTTTTATTTAAACATTTTTCAATTTACACTAATAAGACCATCCTTTGTGTCAAATTACACACACCTACACAATTATAACTACCCTATAATTTTGATCATCGGTTCATCCAGTCAATAACAAAAATGAAAACTTTGAAGTAATACCTTATTGAAAAGGCTTTATATTCAAGACTAAATAGTTTACAATTGTCTAAGCTACTTAAGCTTAAAATATGTTTTAAATCTCAAAAATATATCTTAAGGGGAAGCAGGGATATGATGGTTAGAGACACTGGCTAAAGCCGTTCGTGTAAATAGACTGGCGTTGCTTGGAACTTGGCAGTGGCCCTTCCGTGCGCTCAGATACTTACATATTAAACAATAAATAATAGAAATTTTCTACATATTTATTAACAACATAGTACATTTTTTTAGTTCAATGATCTCAAGTCCTAGCCAACTTCGAACAGGACGCTTCTTACTGCGTATTTAGGAGATAGTCCTATTTTAAACCAACTATCTACATAATTCTGTACCAAATATGACATGTTTAAAAGAAAAAACCTATACACAAATAATATTTTTACAATTTTATATTGAAACTTAAGTTATAAACAATTCTCATTTAATTTTAAGTAGCTTATTAGCATCGAGTTCCGATAAATGATCAGCAAGGCCAAGTTGATGGTAAGATCTTTTCAGGGCAGACCAACTTGGACACCAGCTTGTGTTGTATGCTCAATCGGCTACTTTATCTGTGTATGTCATGTCCAGATAATGTTGAAAAATATCAACTATCCATTCAGTGGCACTATTGCCACCCCACGACAGCCAAAGCTGCAGCGCTTCTTCGTCAGTCAAGCCAAACAATTTGGACAAGTCAGGAAGATTCTGGTCATCTCTAAACATTATTCGTAATCCCAACGACGAGAACGCCAGTCCATAGTATGCATGTTTGCGAATTTCTACGTCAATCTGACTGCGGTCCGGCACCGGAGCGCCACTGGCTATAGAGGCCAGCGTCTTACAATAAACGTCAAGCAACTCTTCCATGTGATCGTCCCTGGCCTGGCGGTCCATATTAATGTACATTAAATGTATAAGATCTATGGCCGGTGACCCGTAACGGATAGTGGCCATATCATACACCAGCGCGTCAAACAGCCGTCCATCGCTGTCATACCGGAACAGCAAGTTGTGGCGGCCGAAATCACCATGGCAAAGCACGGACAGAGGTTCGTCCGGTTCCATCACACGCTTCAGTATCTTTATTGCGTCCGCCAACACTTCTGTCCGGAACATCTGTGCCTGTTTGTCATATCCACTTTTACTCTTCACAAGTGTGTCCAACTCATTGGAAAGCAGTCCTTCGAATCCTTTGCTACTTATGTACCAATCGCCTTCTGGAGACCACTGCGTTTCCACTATATTTGCCCCCAGTTCTTTGAATTTTACTCGATTCACATGTTTTGCTCTATAAGACAAGCCGTGAAACCTGTGAAATCGTTTTTTTTTTTATTAAACAACTGAACCATAATATTATGAATATTTTAAATAATTTAATAATCATATTATAGGTACATAATATTAATGAATAGTAGATGCGCTAGTATGAACATTTGCAAAATAAGTTAATTTAAGTGTAGGAAAGCAATTATTGTAATTCCAAGTTCCATGATTCTAGTAAATAATTTACAAATAAATAAGTAATAACATTGATTGTTCTACATAATATAATATTGAATATATTTCTGTACCTGAGAGGCTAAAGGGTCCAAGTCCACTTTTATCAAAATTGAGGTTATGGTTTTTTCTTATGTGAAATTTTGACGCGCGTCATTTTACTTATCTACATTTTAGTCCAATAACGAATATTTACCGAGATATTGGGAAATAACAAAAAGAACTAAGTCCAAATATTTATTTTGATTTATGAATTATGATCCAAGTCCATAAATAACATGGAGATTAATAGAGTCCAAGTCCACTGTGTGATTGAGGCGATTGAGCAAAATGATCTAAGTCCAAAACATTTCATTTAAATCGTAAAATAAACAATATAGGTAAGTTATAATTAAAAGAAAAAATATTCATTTTATTGAGAATATTACAGCTTATTATTTAAAACAAGCCTTGTTGGTATAATCATTAAATTGAATTTACACCAGCCATTTAAGTAAAATAAAAATAGTTGAAAAACGGTTTTTTGGCTCTCCTGAAAAGTTACAATAATGGACTTAGACCCTTTAGCCTCTCAGGTACAGATTTAATCAATGGTAATAACTAAAGACTGGATTTATATACTCTTAAAATACCCAAAATATCATGTTAATATTCTCTAAAAACCTTCAAATATTCTCATTATATTCTCTCAAAAATTTAAAAAATATGCGAAAATATGGTAAAATATATAATAATATGCAAAAATAATCAAGAAACATCATTATATGCTTTAATATGCATTTTTGAAATTTCTTTTTCAACATTATTTTAATAGTGAGGTATTAATTAGGTATTAAAAGTTGCTTATTATACCTAATGGAATAATATTGTACTTTAGTAAGAGTAGAAAATAGGAATATAATATAAATATAACAGTATAATATTAAAACATAAATACAAAATTTGGATATTTGAATATTTGATAAAAGTATAAGTTGATCTTATTAGTAGATATACATAGATAAGCCTTGATAACACTTCTATGATAACACTGGGTGTTTTCTTTTTATCAAAATGAAAAAAAAAAAAAAAATAAATTTAAATGTTCAAAAAAAATTTTTATGGGTACCGTATCTAATATTAAAATTAAAAATAAATACAAATTTTTTCTCACAATTTACGAAACATTCAAAAATATGCTAAATGGGTTAAATATTCTCCAACCCATGAAATATTCTCAAATATGCAAAAAAAAAAATGTTTCTACTCATTCAGAATTTTACTCTCATAAGACTACATGTAGACCCAGTAACGATATGTAAAAACATATAAATCAGGTATTTAGTAATAATAACAAATCTATATATATAAAAATGAATGTATGTCAGTGTGTGTGTCTGTGTGTCCATGTTACCATGGTTACCAAGGTTGCCATGGTTACTAAGGTTACCAAGATTTCATATCAATCTATATATATAAAAATGAATGTAAGTCAGTGTGTGTGTGTGTGTGGGTCCATATTACCATGGCAACCATATCTGTATATAAAAAACAGTAAGCTGATTGACTGCTATCAACGCACAGCTCAAACCATTGGACGGATCTGGCTGAAATTTGGCATACGGATAGCTATTATAATATAGACGTGCGCTAAGAAAGGATTTGCCAAAATTCGCATTTTAAATAGGTGCTGAAACAGGGACATTGAGATTCACGATAGAAATTGGAAATTTTATTTTTATTTATTTATAGTTGCCATTGGTTACAGTCTACATTAGAAATTAGCATTTATTTATTGGTTGCCATTGGTTATTCGGGCAGATCAGGTACAAGCTTGCATCAAATCGAATTATTGAACAATGCTTACCAGGGTGGCAGAGTTGCACTTACCGCAGAAAATTACACCCAAAAGGAGTTCAACAATCATAATTTTTTTAAGAGTTGCGATTTTTTACGAGCAACCAAATTTATTATATTAATCCACAGTATTACATCAAAATAAACTTGGTATAACTTTGATACTTTAGAGTTAAATCATACACTTCCGTACAAACAGCACGGGGTCCGCGATCTACCGCAGGTAGATTGCCTACCTGATAATGTACTGCCGCGATTCAGAATTTTTATTCAGGGCAACGGGAAAGATAAGAAATTTTGAACACCATACACCGAATATTGAATAATGAATTGAACAAAGTTTGAGTAGGTAGTATTGAGTTGATCCATTTAACGGGCAACGAAGTGCACGGGATCAGCTAGTAATAAAATAAATTCTAAATAATCTTAATATAACAGATACCTTATTTATTTATTTATCCTGAGTTTTTCCATCATTAATTAGTTCGGTTTTCAAATATTTATAATAATATAATAAATAGGTAATAAAATAATTTTAATTAATAATTCATAAATTCATTTTTTTCCCATCAATGTTATCTAATAATAAGTAATTCAAATAAAATATTGCACACAAAATAGTTAGTTTGTAATCGAGTTACAAATTTTAGGGCACTGTGACAATTTCAAGTAACATATGCATAACACAAGATTACCTTCTGCGTAGGTACGAGTTGATTCCCTGGTCATTTTATTTTTTTTTTTTTCAATATTTAGTCAAATATTCAGCCTATTAGTGTAACCCAAAAAACACCACTAGGAGACAAGTTTCTCAAAAATGTTGTTTTTTTTCATGTTTTAAAATTATTAGTAAAAAAGGTGCTCTGCTGTACAGTAGGTTACAAGTGGGTCAGTGTATAATACTATAAAATACTATAATGGATGGTATTAAATTTAAATTCAATGATATAATATCATTGTATAAGAAAAACGATTCTGAGTGGAGACGGTATGTCAGTCTAGGTTTAAGACATATTCGGTGGCAGTATTGTGCTAAACAGTTCCCACCCGTTACTGTTTATAAAATAAAAAAAAAAAAAAAAAGGTTTAAGACATATTATATTATATTAAATCTATGGTATTAAAAAAAAATTGACCTATAATAGAGGTACTTACCTATAATAAATTCCAAATTAATCATATCACAATATCCATTAGGTACTCATAACGCGTTATACATCAACAACAAACCTTGATACTATCATCGATATATAATACTATAATAGTGTACTTTAGAAGTTTCAAGTACCCACGAATAATATTATACACTCACAACAAAATAACTAAAATATAGTTATTCTAGGTTTTTTATTATGTAATTTCGTCCAAATTTGAACTTAAAATGACTATAAAAATAAAATTTGCTTATGTATTTTTTAGATTTTTTGGTAACAGAATCAACTACTTACGTGGAATCTTGTTTTAAAATTTAAATCCTTAGATATAAAAGTTGAACATTTTATACATTTTTAACTACAAAATAATTATTCAATTTTAAATTTGATAAATTTTGTCAGAATTCGATGTTAAATGCTTATAAAAAAAAAATTGTGGGCATGTATTTTAAATATTTTTCAACTGATATTGTAACAATATATCAGGAGCCTTGTATTACACTTTTTGGCCCAACAGATAACATTTTATTGATATTTATTGAAAAAAAAAACTAAAAAAATTTAAAACAGACAATGTCCGTTACAGCCCCAAAAGAGTCAAAATATTTTCAAAATTGTATGGTGTATAGGAAATGCTAATATAAATATTCAGTGAAATTTTCATGTATCTACAGTAATTTGTTTTTGAATTACAACAAAATAAGGAAATCGCTACATGAGAAATCGAGTGAATATCCTATATTGTAAAAATATGAACTTCAAACGCTCATAAAAATTTAATTTGACTTTCTTATAGACATTTTTTTTTGTTAAAGGTAGACAAACTTATGAGGAATCCTGTATTACACATTAAAACCATAGATTTAAAAAGAAAAATGTTTACATATTCTTAACTCAAAATAATTAGCTAATTTTCGTGAGTTTTCCATATTTAGTCAATTTTTAAACTTTAAATGCTTATAAAAAAAAACTGTGACTGGAAAAATTTTACTTTTGACCCTCCCAAAGCACCAACTAGATTCACTTTCCTATCAAAAAAGATACTGTTTAAGAAAATCCAAGCACTTTTAATGTCCTAAAAGGTGATGACAGACAAAAAAAAAATAAAAAAAAACACACATCTTTGTAAAATCAATACATCCTTCGTTCCACTCAGAATCTAAAAATGTAAAAAATTACTATTAAAAAATGTAGGTGATTAGGTAAAAAAATATTATTGAAAAAATTTAGTTATTTGGTAAAAATGTAAAACACTGTTTTTAAAAATTTTTATATCTGGTAATGAGATTACATCACTTTTCTTAAAAAAATTTGTTTTTCTTGGTTTTTCTTAGATTTTTTAGTCCCACTGCTTCTGCATTTTATATACGTTTCCGACTTACGTTTCTAACAGCGCATCTATAAATACATAAATATTTGGGCACCCATCAAAACAACTGTTGAAAACACTCACAACTATTCGTATTTCTGTTTAAACTTTAAAGTAGTGGAGTATTGAGCGTGGTCTCGGTGGACATGAGGGTCGAACTCTTTACCTATGTCTTTGGTATACCTACAAAAATAGGGAATCAACTCATAGATACATCTTAATGACCCGGGAATTAACTCACCTACTGCGAGATTACCAGTGCACTCACTTTGCCAGCGTTCTTATCGCCATGACCAGGTGGTCAAAATCCAAAATATATTCATTGTCGGTCACCGCTGACCGGTATCCACGAACTGTTTCGTTTTCCAAGACGATCAGGTCCCGATCCACTAGGTCACCACAATCGTTACGCCCGTAAAAGTAACGGCACAACGACGGCATCGTAGCACAGTCGCCATCCTTCTGTGAGCCAATAGCCATCAGAAATGGTGCGAATTCTTCGTAGAACAGCTTCTCGTTATGAAACTGCAGGTCGTTCCTGCAAATTGCCAGCTTCTCGAGCGTAAAATGCTTGAACTTTAACACTAGCGGATGGCTCTGGTTGCTACACTTTCGGTCGCTGATAGTCATCGTCCCGTACAGCACAACCGAACAGAACTGATTCGGTTCGGTGTGCCATTTATCAAGTACGAAGGACACGAACAGGCTGTCGGGTCCAAACACTTTGGACTCAATCATTTTCGTGGCCGTAGCTACAGCCGCCGCCGCATAGTGTTCTAAAACATTTAATTAGCTTGCTTAAATTAATTTTGTGTCACTTTTTCTCTGTATTGTGTACCTAAGTGTTTTGTTATTCCTAATATTTCCTTATTAATTAAATATTGTTTTTCATGTGTTATTATTAATTTATGTTTTATATGTTATAAAGTGCTAGAAACTCAGTCACCGAAGCCGAGTTTATTCATGTTAAAAAAAAAAAAAGATATATTGCATATATTAGTCAATACTAAACATAATAAGTAATCTTGTTGAATTTTAGCAGTATAATTTCAATAATTTAAGATTAAAAATCAATATTCTAAACACAAAATATTATACCTATTTGTATTTTACAGGGGTTTTTTAAAATTAAATTTAAAAAAAATTTACTAACATCCATTTTACTTACGTTTATACTGATGTTCCATTTAATATATTTACGTAAAAACCACTTTTTAACAAAAATATTTAATATATTAAATATTAATACAGTTCCACAATAGCTGCTCTCCGATAGGTTTATAATTTATAATGTAAGTCATGTGTGAATGTGTGATAATCTATTACAAATCAACTTCATTTTATTAAATTGTATTTTATCTATAAAGCTATATGCAGTAAATAAGTACTTCAACATTTAACGTATTATCAGTTATTACTACGTATAATTGTGTATGATATAATCCACATACTTATTATTATAGTACCAATGATTAATAATGTTATTGTCCAATGTAATGCTATTACCTAAGTACCTAACTACCTACGACATTTTAATATCTACGCCGACGATATCAGTTCTCAACCATTTTAGTTGTGCAGAGTGCAGACCACCCATTTTGTAAAAAAAAACTTTGAGGTCCACTTTCTTGGTCAAATACATTAATACACAAAAATAGATTCCTATAAGGCTATAATTAACCTGTACAGAGTTTTCTGTGAGAATTTCCCATTGCGATATAATCTCCTGAAATAATAATGGATATATCATAATTATGTTTTGTTCATAAGACTAACAGATGCTTGGACAACAAATATTTCATGTTTTAATTAAATTCAATGTTTTGGTAAAAAAGTAAAAAAATAATTTTTGAGTTTATTTTACTGAAAATGTTGACGTTACAAAATTTTGTTTTTATTTATCTTGTAATTTTTAACAATTGTATTAATTTCGTGAAAAATTGAGTAGAATTCAATACTTACCATTCAGATACCTGGTCCATAATTTAATATTTTGATATTATGTTATCTGATTTTCTGACTTAGGTACTTCATTTGGTGTTCTGCAAAAAAAAATTTGATTAAAATGATGAATGGGCATTTAAAACATCACTTGTTCTGTTTAGTAATGATTTTCTTATTATATTACTGTTTAAATAATGATTTTATTATAATTGTTTAATTTATTTTAATGTCTTTGTTAAAATCTCATAAATAACAAAAAAAAATGTTAAATAATATTGTTTTTTTTACTATGAATTATGTATTATTAAAATATTTTAAATGATAATCATATTAGATGTATTAAATTATTTTGCCTTAAGTGTACTAATAATTAACTATACTCCTATGTTTGGTAAATATAGTATTATATTACATATAATGAGAATAATTTCAGAAAAGGGGCCAATATATTCAATTGTATACACCCTGTACACCCTGATCTATTTAAGTGCGTACACTAATGATTTCGAAAACAATTAATACTATTTTAGATTTTTTTTTAAAAAAACTTTTAGATTTATGCTTTTCTAAAACTGTTTACTATTTTAATTTTTTTCACCCTTATATTTATTGGTGGAACCACTATTAAATTTTGATTTTCAAATTGTAACATATAATAAAAAGATCATGAATTAATAAAACCATTTTATTTATGAATTGACGAGTTAACATTTTTATTTTTTGTTGATTGGTTGGCGAGATACAGCTCCTCAAAGTATTGGTGGTTGAAGGAGGTATTTTACTCGGTACCGGTAACAGATAAAACTTTATTAATATTTATGGAAAAAAAGTCTAAAAAAATTGAAAACTGAAAACGTCCGTAAACAGCTCAAAAAGAGTCAAAATATTTTCAAAGTTGTGTAGTGTATAGGAAATGCTAATATCAACATTCAGAGAAATTTTCATGTACCTATCTACAGTCATTCGTTTTGAAATTACAACAAAATAAGGAAATCGCTACACAAGAAATCGAGTGAATATTCAATGTTATAAAAATTTGAATTTCAAAGGCTAATAAAAATTTAATTTAACTTTCTTATAGACATTTTTCTTTGATAAAGGTAGGTAATCTTATAAGGAATCTTGTTTTACATTTTGAAATCTTAGATTTAAAAAGACAAATTTTTACAAATTATTAACTCAAAATAATTTGCTAATTTTCGTTATTTTTCCATATTTTGTCAATTTTCGAACTTTAAATGCTTATAAAAAAAAAACTGTGACTAAGGATTTTTAATATTTTTTATCTGCCTTTGAAACAATATAATAGGAGCTCTCTATTAAATTTTCAAGCTTTTTTAAAAAACAAATAAAATTGTATTGATATTTATAGAATAAAAAACTAAAAAAATTGGAAACTGAAAATTCAGTAAACAAATCAAAATATTTTAAAAGAAGAATGGTGTATAGAAAATACTAATATAAACAGTCAGTAAAAATTTCATTACAGTAATTTGTTTTAGAGTTACTAAAAAAACCAAAATCGATTTTCTCGAAAACAGATTTTGAGTAAAAATTCCAGTTTTTTCTTCATTTTTCTTTTGTTTTTCACAGTGCGTGTTTGAAAACTACTGGAAAAATTAAACTTTTGACCCCCCAAAGTACCAACTAGATTCACTTTTCTATCAGAAAAGATACTGTTTAAGAAAATCCAAGCACTTTTAAATTTTAATGTCCTAAAAGGTGATGACAGACACAAAAAAAAATAAAAAAAAAACACATCTTTGTAAAATCAATACATCCTTCGTTCCACTCAGAATATAAAATATAAAAATGTCAAAACAGCCAATTTTTATACAATTTTATACAATTTTGGTAAATTTGCACAGAATATTTAGTACCGCAGTGAGCGATTTGTAGATTGTAGTAATGTAGTATCTATAATCAACACTAGTACCGACCTAGAGTTTACTATAATTATTATAGAGTTAGTAAGATTTAACTTATAATAATATGTACCTATAAACAAATTATAACCCTGAATATTGTTTTCTGAAAACACAAAAAAATTATAATTGTATGTATATTTTTTATTAATACATTATTACCTCATATTATAAAATGATAATAATTTTTAAACAATGTAATATTTAATATTTTACTATACTTTTAGAATATATTTTTTAAGTTTACAATATACATACATATACAAACTAAACAAACTAGGTATAATAAACACCAATATCTAATAAAAATAAAATTATTGAGTTTGATTTCTTACGATATTTGCCATAACAAAATTTAAACACAATAATTTTTAAATTTATCTTGTGGTTCAAACGATATATCAATATGCACAAAATATATACTTAATAGGTATAAAACATAGTATGAGATTAATAAATAATTACAAAGTAAATGATGCAATTTTTTTCATAATAACATAATATCATACAGGTGTACTCTGGCATTAATTTCAAATGGTTTATGACAAATTGATGAGACTCATCACTTTTTAGTTAAATGACTTCAGAGGCGCATACAAAGCTAACCTAAGAAATTATCTTATACATATACCTTATGATTTATTTAAATTAATGCATATTATTCAGCAAACCCCTGTGATACAACTGACAGAAGTTTAAAAATGTAACTAAATGCATATAAAATGAGGTGAATAGAGCCATATTGAAAATATGATTTTCACAATTTAACATTATTTTATTGACTGTATTTTTTCAACACCTACAATATTTATTTAAATTTTACTATAACTTGTGTAATATACATATAAGTATATAACTGATATGTCTTATTTTTGTGATTTACCTTTTAGAAGGTTATTTTTTTTTTTAAATTTCTACTAAAAACTATTTCACATTCGTTTTAAGTTAACTATAGCTAGTTCATAATCATAATTTTAAATATACATAATACATATAGTGCCTAATCTATAAGTATACATCTAGCATATTGTATTTTTTTTAAATGCATACCTACTAATTGTACAACTTTTTTTCACTTATAATATTTAATTAAAAACAACTTAATCCAAAATTGCAAATCTCACATATTACACCATTTTATATTTATAATATTATGAACTACTTTAATAATTTATAATTATTTAATAGTGAAAGACTATGAATAGTTAAATATTTCAAATTTAAATTTTTATAATAATATTATGTTGTATTTTAAGATTATTTCAACGATACAATAATTATGAATATTGTTACAAACAATAAGGTATAATATGTAAGCAATTAACTTACCTATTTCAATATATCATGACTGAAATCACCCCATTTTATACTACTATTATTATGAACCACTATAAAAGGCATTTGTATAGCAGGTGATCTACCAATTTACCAGAAGTGATCCACCACAAGAGGTATAATATTAGGTACCTATAATAATAATATGTATATTGCGTATAAAATATATTCACCATTAATTATTTTTTTTTTTTTTTATTTATTTAGGATTATCAAATCAAATAAGAATTCATTAAAAAATACACAGTTTACTGTCATTGATTAGTGCTACTATATTAAAATTATATTTCTATTATTATCGAAATCGACATACATTATCATAATAGTAATACATTATAGTTTACGAAGTATTTAATAAGTAATAACTATAATAATTAATAGGTTGCAGAGGAGTAGTAGTGTTCACACAGATCCTCCTCTGCTGTCGGTTCAAACGAAAAAAAAAAAAAAAAAAATAATTAATAGGTAAATAATAAAAGAGTTGAAACGCACTTGATCAACTTTACTACTACTATGAAAGAAATGCACAGGTGACTGTAGCCAAACATTTATAAAATTTGATAGAGCACCTGCTAGATAAACGTCCTTTAAAATTTTACCATAGTTAAGAATTCCAGGACTATGATAAATCTATTCCAAATTAAATGATACAGTTAGATCAAAATATTTGTTATGCAGTAATGCAAAATATGAGTTAAGATCCTAACATGTATTAAGAAATTGAAACAAACTCAACCTAACCCCTAACTTTAAAAATACAGTACGTACAATTTGAAAATGGGACTAATAATATTTTAACTTAGATTTTGTAAGTGGTAATAAATGGCTAACAACACCAATCAAACAGAAGGAACTATTCAGTTGCAAAACACTAATACAATATAATTTTAAATATAAATATTTTTATGATACATAAATATTAGGATTAAGATATACCTAATATTATAACAAAGAAGTTATTTAAATATAATATTTGATAATAC